GTGTATTTGTAGCTTAAGTGCAGTAAATGTTAATATATAGGCCATCTTGAAGAACAGTACTGTGGTCATAGAATGTAATGTTACAAATTATAAATTGGTTCATTTCCAACTGAATTTAACTCAATTAGTAAAAACAATAAAGCTCAATTCTGTAAAATAAAAGTATGATGTAATAGCACACAAAACAACATACATTCAGTCAGATTTGTTGACACAATTTTCAGTACAACATTACATACAGTATAAAGAACTATGCAGCACTACCACTCATTTGTTTTATTTTAGTAACTATTTTTGGATTATTCAGACTTTACAGGCCTATGTTATAAAAGCTTAACTCACCAAGGAGTCAGAATAACCTAACTGTTTTAAGAGCAGTATATAATGTAGGAATATCACTAACCTTTGTATGTACTAATGAAGTAAACTGTTAGGCACCCTTAAAAATTTACTGTACTTAAGATTAACTATAATTTCTAACAGTGAAAGAGTACTTAATTATGATTTATGTCTAGTAGATTACTATGCATAGAGATACTACTGCAAACTCAATCATATGTACTTGTGTTAACACACCCAAATTTCCCTCAAGGCCAGTGCCCCAAAAGTTCATAAATTACATTAATATTTCATTATTGAAGATATTTTAGTGATGAATGTGGAATTTTATCTCAGTTTCTATTCAAAACATAATGTTTATGAAGTTGTACACTAGAAGGAATTGACAAATACTTTTCTTGTGCAGTAATTTATAAATTTTCTTGACAGACTAAATAAAATCATTATTTCAAACTTTGTGTACATATAATATGCTGTGAATTTTACCAGTTACTGTCTGTACATTTGTACTTATCTCATAGGCTTAGAAACTTATTAATGTCAGGAGTGATTCATATGTAATCAAATTACATATACATTAATTATCATTACTTCATAGTTGTTGTTTTTTTTTACAGCTGAAACACCTTAAAACTATGGAAGAAAGAACACTGTACTCTTAATTTTGAAACACAAACTACTAGTCTGACAAAAAAAACAAACAGAAAACAATTATGTCAAACCACACAATGCATAAAACTCCCCCAATTCCGTACCTTCCCATTTATTTTTTTCTGATTTGAATATTACAGAATCATAGAGATTTGGATTTCATTAAACAAAATTAATCAAAAGCTCAAAAAATTCAAAATAACCATAAAACCATTAAATTCCTAAAATCAGTCTAGCTTAGTTAGTTTCTAAAATTTCACAGGAGCACCAAGAGTTTATCAAATCCATGATAGTTCTGACACTTTTACACGATCAATAAACAAGAGAATGTTGGCTATGAATTATTTCTCTCAATAAAATTCTATCTGATACATTTTTTTTTAAATAAAAATTAAATTAAATTCTTAGAATAAACACAGAAAGGTTTTTCTTTTCTATTTTGTCAAGAAAATTACCATCCATGACTTTATAAAAAGTTTCATAACGAACAAAGAATATATTTTACGTTGGTTACACATTCATAATTTCTAAGTTTCCAATAATTCTATTCCAAAATTGGATTTCTCTAGTTCTGTTAAATTGTCAGACATAAAATATGAACATTGTTACTGAATGTATAATTATAACTGGGCTCTTTAAAGTTCCAACCTCTGTAAATTTACATTATTATTTTTATTTTTTTACCTTATTTAATTTTGTTAAGCTTCGGATCAGCATGGCTCAATGATTAAGGCTATGATTTGTGGGTCATGGGTATGATTCCCAGTGCCCTAACCATGCTCATTCTTTCAGCCATGGGTGCATTACATTTGTGTGTCTGTTTACGAATTATAAAAAAACTACTGGGGCTACCTGCCACCAACCCTAATTTTTAAATGTTGACCAAGGAGAAAACAACTGGCTGATAGCTCCAACCAACAAACTCTTGGGGTACTCTTTTATCAATGAATAACGGGATTGAATGTGACATGAACAACAGCTATTTATTACTACTTACAAATATGTGAGTTAGGCCTAGTAGCCATTGGTTATAAACTGGCCACAGTTCATGTAAAGAATATGGCAGATACAGTGTGGGTAATGTATTACAGTGTGTTATACATTCATCTTTACCTTCAACTCTCAAGCACTTAGAATTTACCTTGTTCAAACTAAACAATAGTGTACTTTCAATTCAATCCATTGCTTATTTACTAAAAGCTACAAATGTAATCAGTGTTACTTAGGGTGAGACTGCATTAATAAAAAAATGTTATAGTAAGTTAATATTCATTATTCTTCGATCTGTCAAACAAACATTGATTGCTGAATAACTTGCTTATTTAACTGTGTTTGTCAGAAATTGCTAGACATCGACTCACAACAGTTTAACATCATGTAACACCATTAAGTCATTAACCTATTTACATGAACATGACTACTGTTTAATTATGACTAGCTCTAGCTGGGTAAGAAGCACCGAAAATGTAAAACACAAAAGTCTAGCTTTCATCAGGTACCACTTAAACACTGCCTAGTACAGTAAGCTTTACATTGTTTGACTTATTGATTTGTCAGCATACTTATGCATTTCTACAGTTTCTTCAAGCCGTTACTGCAAGATATAAATGTATTAATCACTTTAATGTGTTCTTTCTAAACTTCTATCCATATAACAACTTTTTGCTTAATAGTTTGTTTTTTACATTTATAAGTTTGTTAGTTATACTTTAAGTTTTCCATGCTCCTGATGGAATTACAAAAATCTAAACCATCTGTAATTAAAGTTTGTGTTATATTATCATGATTTTAATACTTATCATACTACTTCAATTTCTGCTTTATGAATCATTTTAATCTTTGCAAAGACGTCATCTGGTCGTAAAAGTTTTTTTGCCAAATAGTAAACATTGTACTGTCTTAGTTTTCACTAAGTTGTATATTATCTATCACACACTAAGGTAATAATCTTTACTAGTTTTATTACACAAAACCTATGGACAATTATTTTTCTTGAAGGATGTATTTAGTTTTAGTAATATTGTGACTATTTATAGGGAGAAATCCACAGAACATTATTCATCATATTTTCAGCTTGTTACAGGTTTTGAATTACGTTTCGTAGATGATACATTTTCATGTACAAAAGTTTAGGACTAAAAACTGGAATGTAATCCTAAATTGTGCCTAAAGATGACTATCATATTAAACAAAACCCAAAACCAGCTGAAAATAGGAGTATTAGTCTCATGTGAGAATAACTAATTAGCCAAATGTAATCATCTAAAGATCCCAACAATTAATGAAATAGCAAAATTCTCTCAGCTCTAAATATAATGTTTAACAAATACTTCAATGGTTAATAAATCAGGTTGTTTTCTTCAACAGAATCATAATTACGATAACGAATGTCAGTGGATTTTTATTTCATTTCTTCAATTTAAGATGTGTGTCAAAAATAGAAAAATACAGCTCAGATAACTAAAAGATTGTCAAATCTGATCAATTTTTATCTTTAAAAATCTGAAGAGTTAATAAAAAAAATACATTACTTGTTCTTGTTGTTTGTAGTTAAGCACAAAGCTACTCAAAGGGTTATCTGTGCTCTGCCCACCACGGTATCGAAACCCAGTTTCTAGCAGTATATGCACTGCAGACATACTGCTGTAATACATTACTTATCAGATGAACTACAAAAAATTATCATTGCAAGATAACAACCATTGAAATAAGTTCATATTATCTACCAAATACAAACATAAAATATAATGCATGGGAATACTATGTTCAGCTATTAAAGGTCAAATTTTCAAGATCTTATACCAAAATGCAACATTATTTTATGGTACTATTTTGTAAAGAGTTGAAGCATTTATATGTGTTCTAAACTAAGAGACCAGTTAGTGACAGTTGTACTGATTAAATGATTATTACTCAATGTTGTTAATGAATTTGTAGTTGGGTAAATATGGAATATTCAGTGCTACTATAGCGTGCAGTCAACAAAAATATTTACACTAAGTATGTGGTCTACATCATCACTGTTTTAACTTTCACTGATTTGCAATTGGCACCATTTATTATAAATAATGCTCTTAAACTAATAAAGTACAAAATACCATTACATAATGGTTTTGGGGCAAATATAATCCGAATGAACTAAATTCCAACAATCAAAACTAGCACAATTATAACCTCAATTTAAATTACTCTTTGGGAACACATAACTTGTTATATTATAATTTGCTGAACAAAAATTTAGATAAATATAAATTATTTTGCAAGAAATTATGTTTTAGTGAATCATTAAAATGGTGATGATGATGATGGTATCTGTGTAGACTGCATGCTACAGTGTAAATATCTTTGTAGACTGCACGCTATAGTAGCACTGAATATTCTTATTTTGGAATTAGGTTTTCTTTGTTGGTTGATTTTCCAGAGTCCTTTATTTATTTAAACAATCATTAATCTTGATATTTATGTTATATTTCATTAATGTTAGTATCAAGTCCATCCAGGCACATACTTATTAACTGTATTTTAGGAAGATAAAAATTTTGTATTCTAATTGTTCAAAAGTTTAATTTTTTACTTCTGTATTTGTTATAGTTAAATAAATTTGATTTTTGTGTTTCAACTCTAGTTGTAGCACCTGTTTGTTTGTGCTGAATGACATCTGCTTTCTCTCTGTACTAGATAATTTGTTTTTGTTTTGTTTTTTGCATAAATCATTCCCATTATATATGCAAACAAACAGAACAAAGCCTTTTTAACAAGAAAATTCAATTCACATGCTGACACTAAATGAAACGTTATATTGACATCCATCAGTTATTCATAGAATTTCAAGCCTGCTGTGTGACATTTCACAAAAATTTGTTGGAAAAACTATTTCCCACTACTTCCTTCATTTCCTATATGCAACTTCTTTTCCAACCCATTAGACAGAAATTAATTTCCCTAATAACAGAAAAATAAATAAAAAGAAAACGTTCAATATTAATTCTGAATATATATATGTACATCACCTGTTAATCATCTCTCTGGCCACATCCAACTTGTTATTTACTGCCTAATGATCATTTTCTTTAAATTCATTCTAAAAAAGAAATAAAAGATATATAATACAATATTTACTTTCTAATTACTAAATACTCAAAATCCATCATTTATTTCTCTTTGCCTGTAAAAATATAAATGATATGTGAAGTAACATATCTTCGTTTTATTTATTTATTTTATGTCTGTTCCCCACTACTTCAATTACCTATACACAATTTGACGTTTCAAGAATTATATTTCACGTCCTAAAAGTATATAATTTGAATTGTTATGTTATTAAAAGAAAAGAATAACAAATTCCATCATCTTAATTTAAATACCAACATGAAAATGTCTTTAAAAAAACGATGAATTGGATAAACAATTATAAGCTCAGCTGCGTTAATAAAGGGAAAAAAATTTATTCCAAACTTAGCGCTTTCAAAGTTCAGTAAATTAAACTTATGAAATATATTTGTATGTGCAGCTTATTATAGATCTGCCATATATTTAAAGTAGGGTTCAAGGGTAGTGTAATACGTTAGAAATAAAGTCCTGTTTATTATCTCATAACAGTGTTACGTCAGAAAATGTAGTTATTCAAAACGAAATAATTTCTAGAAAAACTAGTTCATAAATATCATTAGTGTAGGCCTTGGTTAAACATGGTGTCAACTAATTCAAAAAACAATTCATGAGATAAAAAAAAACAGATTATATTATCTATCTCAACACTATAGTTCATGATCCAGATAAATTAATATAAAACAGTTTAAGGGGAGGAAGGAGTATTAGTTTCGGGTATATAAAATAAAGTTGTAGTGGTAGTATAGGCTATTTTAACATATAGTTATGAAAAAAAAATCAATACTGCTAAGTGTACAAAAGTTATTTACTATGTATGAATTATCATTGATAAACCAGAAAAATCATCCATATTATAAGGGCCGATTGAACGGCTCAAAGAACCCACCGCAAAATTTTAGAGGCGCAAAAATTGTGAAAATTTAGAAAAATTAGTAATAATCAAAGAGAAAAGGGTTATTTGTGGTGAAAGTTTGTGTGCAAAATTTAAATTAATATGACATCGAATACCGGAACGTTCAACTCCAGATAAGGTTTTATTTTATATGCGTAAAAACCAAATCAAAGTAAATTTTCCAATTACGTTTATTGCTCTAAGTCTAAGAATTTTGCCCGTTAGTGTGGCTAATGACGAATAATCGTTTTCACGAGTGAAGCTGAGAAAGACATTTTTGCGATCCACAATGGGACAAGAGATCAAACAGTGTAGTAATAATTTCTATAGAAGATGAAATGACCAGGGAAATTAATATAGACAAATAAGGGGAGGTTTTGCCATGTCGTAAACTTCCATTTTCTAAAGACTAATCTTTGTTTCTTATACGTAATTTTCTACTTTTTACCATTTTTATACTCTGTACTCTGTATTTCAGAAAATGTTTAAATTTTGTGAAGTACAGAAAAATTAACAAATATAAAAAACTTGAAAAAGGGCGCAATTTTTTATTTTCGCACTTTTCAATTTTTGAATTGAGCCGGTACTGCATATTACTTATAATAATAACAATTAATTCAGCAAATTCAATGTCTCACAACACTTATTTTCAATCCGCCATTCATTTCTGCAGCCGGTTTAGTTTGCTTGGGACCATACAGAGAGCGCGCGCTGTTTATAATCCCCAACCCTTATTCCACTGACTGTGCCACCATGATGTATGTGGAGTGATAAACAACATTTCATTATAATAGCCACTGATTGATAGCCATTTAAATTTTCAATAAAAGTTTGAATAATATGCATACTCCTGTCATGCACAAAATATAAATACTGTTTTTAGGTTTGAATTTTGCTCAAAGCTACACGAGGGCTATATGCGCTAGCCGTCCCTAATTTAGCAGTAATGGACTAGAGATAAGGTAGCTAGTCATCACCACCCACCTCCAACTCTTGAGCTACTCTTTTACCAGAGAATAGTGGGATTGGCCGTTACATTATAACGCCCCTACGGCTGAAAGGGGTGAGCATATATGGAATGGGGATTCGAACACGCGACCCGCACATTGCGAGACAAGCACCCCAACCACATGGTCATACCAGGCCCTGTTTTTAGACAAACCAAAGTTAAGAGAAGTACATATACATAAGTATTATAATAAAACACGATTTATACTATAGTAATATAACAACTAAAATAATTCCAATTTCATTTGCTAAAGTTCAGTTCGCGCATAGACAATGTAAATCTGTATCTTCCAATAAAAGGCTTTATTATTATTGTTTCACATCACCAACCAAGGTTCTTTTTAAAAACGTTCTAAACATATCGAATTATTAATACGAAATGAAGCATCACTTAAAAACAAAAGAAATAAAGATAACTTATGTCAGAACAAAAAATAAGTACACGGTAAATAACAAATTTGTTCGTTAAACGAAAAACTGAACCTTCAACCAAACAACGCATTCGTTATTAAATATGTCAACCAATAGCTAAAGACTATGGGGCGGGGCCATCTTTCTATTGGTTTCTCGGTAAATTAGGTTCACTTAGGCATCAGTTTTATCAAGAGCGATTCATTCTAGTTTCATATGGTTAAGAGCGAAGGAAAAATGAGGTTGGCGTAAGAAACTCCAATTCTTCAACAGTGTGATATATTCCACAGTCATCAAGAAATGGTTAGCGTACACTCTTTGCACCACGCACCTACAGATAAACTTCAATGCAACATATAAGTGTAGACATTCTACGTAAACGTAATATTAATGTGGTTTAGTGTTGAAGTCGTCTGATCATCAATAACAAAACTTCGACGTCCGTATATACACACACTATAATTTCAGTACTTCACGCTAGCTTATTTTATTAACTGTTCTGTTTAAGTTAATAAATGAATGAAAGGGGGCAAATTCTTCATAAATTTGTAGATTTTGGAAGTTTCTTTATGACGAAGCACTCAACTTTATAACAATACAAATAATCTTCCCACATGTGATCAAAGGATATGACTTAAGTTGTGGAAGAAATAAAAATTACCAGGGAAGGCGAAAAGATGTTTGTAAACAGTAAGTGAACTTTAACAACTTGAAACATTTCGCTTCCATATTTGAAAGGAAAATATTTTACCCTGTATATATAACCATATATTTTTAGGTTTTTCGTGCTAAGCTACAGAATGAGCTATCTACGCAATGTCCACTGCGAAGAATCATATCCCGCGTTCTAGTATTATAAGTTCTGAAACCTATTGCTGACCCACTGGGGGACATACATCGTTAAAGAGTATGGGGACTGCCCTATAGTCCTAAACACCACTGGTCCTAGGGTCCACTGTTTCTAATTAGGATCCATAGTATTAACATATGGTGAAGTCTTCCGACTGCGTAAATAAAAGTATATTTTGCGTGTGAAAGCACAAACTAAAGAGATGGGGGAAAAGGCAAGTAATGTAGCGTAGGAATGTCATGTATGCTTTTTTAGTATATCAAGTGAACACGTTCAAGCGAGATTCTTGTGCATCCATTGACTATATATAGTCACAGTCTCTACTGATTGTACTTGGCGAAAAGAGGTATCTTTACTTCAAAACAATATCAAATCAGAAATAACACATACGAGATTCACTGAATGGTTTTCTTGTAATTACTTCACTGAATTATGAAATACCCAAAAGAAAGTCTTTTGTTTGTTCTGTTGACAACTAACTCGTTTTCCTGGACTCGTTACTCACCTTTCTTACTTGCTACTTGCATTTCCTAACTTATTACTCACTACAGATCAAAAGCAAACCTCTTAATCCTAAAAAGAAACCAGTTGTTTCAGGATCAATGGGCCTTATGTTTATGGACACGACACCTCTTCCAAAAACATTAATGTTATACATTCCTTTAATTAACGTATATATATATTTAATGTGTCTCTTGAGTGCTAATAACAGGGTGTCTAGAAATTATGTTAGAATTTTTACCTCTCTTTCATTTAGATACAGAAGCCTTGAACCGTTGCTACAATGGCTACTAGTTCTATTAGGCCAATGGAATTACATTGTAGCATGTCGTGACAACGCTATAAAAGCCTAACAGGGGGATTCTAACTTTTGTTTTTGTTGTTAAATACAAAACTGCAGCAGAATGGTCTATCTGTAAGGTGCCTACCGCAAGGATAAACCCCCAAATTTGAGCATTATAATTGAAAAATAAACCCTCAAGCTTACCGTGGAGCCAATGCTAATCATTAACTAAGATAAAAATTTCAATTTTAAAATGACATTGAGGTTAAAAACAAGAAGGGGGGTGATAGTTTATATGGTTATTTTCCTACTCTTGGTAAAGTAAGTAAAATCAGAACAAATTTCTCGCCTTTGAGATTTTACAATCAATAGCTTGTAAATACTCTTTGCGAATATACAACTGCTACGCATTTTCCTTAGTTCTGGGCGCCTGTTAGTTTTAAGAACTTCACACCAAACATAAATGTTACACAGAACTTTTAACTTTTCTATGTGCTCTAAGTGGTACAAAAAATCTCACGGATTAATGTATCCTCAATAAGTATGTATTATTTCCCAACGGCTTTTGATTTGCGTATCTGTAACTTATATAAAACATTTTTATACGTCGCTCTACCACTTAGACCTAAACCCCACTTTAGTTGTCACACCAAATTTGCTATGATTTCATACTGCGTCTAAAATAATATAGTAATTGAAAACCTCGTCAGCACTGTCTGTGAAAATTGTAGTCCTTCAAACCTGACAGTGGGGAATTCTGAATTATAAGCTTGTGCAATATATAAATATTCGTATTTTTTGTATCAATGGCTAGTAGTAAAGTTAACTCCCAAAAATACAACGCAGAATCCGTAATGTTACCATTAAAATTGCTTTTTACACTCGAATATTTTGCTACAACCAAGTATGATATTGATAATTTTAGTTGTACCTTCACTTTTTCTTAAACTGTCGTAACGAATATACTATCAACAAAATTAATGGATTTTTAACATTCAAAGGATACCATTTTTATATAAATACATTTCTGTAAAATGTTAAACTATCTCATTGTATATTACAACAAATACAATATTTAAATGGAATTGTTTTCTATTACGCATCAAACTCTGAGAGTACATGAAGGATATTACTTTGGTGAAAATGGTACAAAATGTAGTAACTGTGTATTTTATTATAATGAAATATTCCTGTCAACCAACCTTCACGATTATTTTGGCATTAACAATTTTATGCCAAGATATATATGTAAATCACTTAAATAGTGCTCAATTATCGACACGATATTTTTAATCACATACACAATTATTAGTTGCTCTCATAATTCAGAATAAAGCTGTTCTGGTCATTTCAGCTATACTGTAAATTAATTCTGGTCTAAATCTAGCAAGTTAAATACTGTAACGAAATACACACAGGCATAAAAATATTTTGTAATTATTACTTAATAGTACTAATGCTATCACGTCTCACATTATTTACACATTTTACAATATTAGCATTTTCTGGGCATTAACAAAACTGCTCAAGTTTTACAAGTTTGAACATATTACTATTAGCAATAAACGTATGTTTTAACTATACCAAGAGCCACTAAAACAATTTAATTAGCCTCGGGCTACTGGAAATAATGTTAAGCCTAAAAGTAAAACTCAAAGATATTTCTGACAAAAATCCCGCACAAGCTGTATCTGCGTGAACCTGACACAATACACTGCATTAAAGTAACTACAATATAGTGGTGTAAGCTTAATTCAGTTAAAATGTGAAGCCAATTACCAGCAAACTAAATACAAACTGGTTATTGAGATAGGTATACAAGTGACAAAGATTCAAGCTATTGACACAGGGTCTAACAGTAACAAGTCTTCACTCGAAATTAATAGTAATATTTTTTATACAAACTCTCCTTTACTGGCAGTAAGATAAATTCTCAGATACTATAAAGATACGGTAACTATAAAACATTTAAGAAAGAAGATGCCTTATATGCCTGAACTTTACTGGTCTAACTTCAAAAACGCCATAGAGAAACTTTTAGGTTTAAAGACGGTCGATTACTTCTATGGCGGCAGGCAGCACCGTCAAGCTATAGCTCCGTAGCTTGGTGCCTCTGATACGGTATAACCGTATAACGCATAATGGCATGACCTTGTTCTCAAGAACCCTGAAAGCTACTTCATGTGGTATTACAAAACAAGTCCATAAAAGAAAAAAAGCAAACTTATAACTAAACACAAGAGGTTATTTTCAAAAACAAATTACATTTTATGACATTTCAGAACTACTGAGCATTGCTACATGATGTTTTCTCTGAAAATTTTATCAGCAAAATATTATTCAGAAAACACTCACCCGTCCCGTGACATGCCAATGTCCAACGGGGTTCCCATTGGCTGCCACAGGGAGTGCTTAGATGTAGTGTCTGATGACGTATAATTGTACTTATTTCAAATAAAACAATAGAAATTTTACAAAATACTAATAAAACAATAAAAATAGATCATATAAAAGTCTTATAAATATAGATAATGAAATTTTTAAAGTTATGTTCAATTTTTATTCAGTATATTAAGTAATAATGTTTTAATATGAACACATAAATTGATGACGTCAAACACTTACGTTAGGTTAGTATTACATGACGTACTCATATTGGATGGCAACTATTTTTCCTCAGGCATTAAATGCACTCATTGCGATGTTGGTACTGTTGAAAGTAATTGTACGAAACGAAAGGTATATGAGGTTTTGTCATGAAGTCATACGTTTCCGTAAAAAACATCTTTCCTACATTATTATTCGTCACAATACAACACCTCCTAATTTGTTTGTTTTATTTTATTCATTTTTGCCGCCACCACGATCTCATAAGGGGAATTCAGTATTTGTTATTTCCATTTTGACATTTTTGTTAAAAAGCCAGTTGTTTTCAGAGTTAAACCTTTTTTTTCTTCCAACGCTTGTAACTCTTCAACAAAATTTAAAATATCATTATTTGGATAAGTATACTTATAATACAAAGCAGCCACCGTAAAATGACCAGCAACTGATTTGAGCTGAGGCAACAAAAACTGATAAAAATCAGGAAATACAAATTAATAGTTAAATTCGGTATTAGGGGTCCACTCTTTCTTATAATTAATTTAAAGAATTTTTACAGTGTAATTGTTTTTAATTTGGTACTTGTAAAACAGAATTATTAAGAAAAAGCCGAAATGGTAACCATATTGTTTTCTTGGAATATCTTTAATAATTTATCAAATCTAATAATGTCACACTGTATTTTTTTCTTGTTATTCAGAAACAAAATTCGTTTTCTTATAGTGTTGCAAAATATAATTTTTTCGTATTCAATAAAGGAAAGTCACAAAAGTTATTATAATACAAAATATGCAGTACTCTCATTAGATAAAACTTACTTTTGGTTTTGTTGCATTCTTTTGATCATGATATCGGCCCGGCATGGCCAGGAGGTTAAGGCACTCGACTCGCAATCTGAGGGTCGCGGGTTCGAATCCCCGTCACACCAAACATTCTCGCCCTTTCAGTCGTGGGGGCGTTATAATGTGACGGTCAATCCAACTATTCATTGGTAAAAGAGTAGCCCAAGAGTTGGCGGTGGGTGGTGATGACTAGCTGCCTTCCCTCTAGTCTTACACTGCTAAATTAGGGACGGCTACCGCAGATAGCTCTTGTGTAGCTTTGCGCGAAATCCATAACAAACAGAATAACAAACAGACTTCTTGCCCCACGGTGAATCAAAGGTAATATTCAGGGTTTATAGCGTAAAGTTGAGGCTTCGATCCTAGCGATGAGTATGGCAGAAGATATCTTATTTTATTTTATCTTTTCAGTGTTCGAGTAAATTTGAAACAAGTAGAAAAACAAACAAAGATTCATTATGTTTTCCAGTTTGTTTAGCACAGTCAACTTGAGCTATGTGCTTCGTTCACCGCGGACAATCAAACCCCGGATTTTAGCGTTGTAAGCCTGTAAACTTACTGCTGTCCCGCTGTTTATTTAGTGTGGAAATGTTTTGGAGCGCTATCTGAATAAATATTAGATCGCCAAGAAATTAAAGTCGCTTTTTTTAGATGAATATTTATTAAATGAAATAATCTCCATTCTTATCGATGATGCTTTCCCATCTTACAGTCAGGTTGTTAATGCCGTGATTAATGAAATCACTTGGCTTTGAAGTAAAAAACATGTCGATGTCTTCTTTAACACCTTCCACTTTTGCATACGTTTCCCATTAAGATGGTGTTGCAGCGAACG